AGAGCTGAGATAGCCATCCCCAGACATCAGGATCCGGTCAGCCCTGTGATCCTCCTGGCCAACACTCTGTTTCAGGAACCGGGGGATTACTTGTTCCCAGTATTCTCATCCTCAGGGGTGGCTGCAAGCTCTCACGTCCTAGACCAGGGACACATCTTCTGGTTCCTCCAACTCTGTTCCTGTCAGCTCCTATCTTCCCAGGCTGCAGATAATTTGGTTCCTCTAATCATTGTGGGCCTAGAACAGAAACGCTGGGCTCTATCTAAGCAAGATTGGAGGGCTGGGCATTCCAAATTATTGCACAAAGAGTCAGCAGCTTTTATTCCAAAAGTAGTTTTTTGTTTGTTTGTTTTGTTTTGTTTTTGTTGTTGTTGTTTTTTAATCTCATGTGTCCACAAAGGTCTCCAAGAAAACCTGCTGGACACACAACTGCAGAGCATTCAGAATACTGAAATCCATGGTGAGCAAGTCACAGAGGGGAAATGCTGCCAAGACAGTGGCCACACCCAGGAGACTGAATGGACAAGCTAGATGAACCGGCCTTCCAACTGGTTAAACCAGGACTTACCCAGATAGCACAAAATGCCATTTTTTTTTTTTTTTTTTTTTTACTGAGGCAGCACTGGGGTAAGGACTTTCCCTACTTGATTTAATCTACTCTTTGGCACACCCCTTATAAGTAGGCAACTCTGTCCCCGTTTAAAGACAAGGAGACAGAAGATGACAGAGATTAATTAGGGTCGCAAAGCTCGAACACAGCAAAAGTGGATTGGAAGCCAGGTCTTTACCATGACCCTATACTGTAGTCTTTTTCCTGAGTCAATGGAAGCGTATGGTCCTTGCCCCCAGGACACCTTACAGCCCCAGGCGAGCTTGTTCACCTGCAGAGGCCCAGAGCACTGGTTCCTGAGCCTCCCCTCGCAGTAGGTAGGAAGTTCCTCAACACTGCACTGCTGTTACAACAAGTGACCAGCAGATGGCAATGTCCACCAGCCCTCCCTGATTTGTCCCAAACCCAAAGGGCTCTGAGATGTCCCTTTTGGAAGGCTTCTGGGAAAGAAGCTACCTTTCTCCCTTCTTCTCTGTTGCCTCTCCTCCCCCTCCCAGTGGCCTGGGGCACAGGGGCAGGCCACGCCCAGCGGCCTGGGGCCAGAGCCGTGGCTGACCCCAGTGTGGATGCCAGAGCTGTTGCTCTGAGTAACCTGGGGCCGGGTAGCACCAATCGAGCCTGGGAAATTCCTCTAGCTTCAGGAAGCCCAGCCCTGGGCATCCTACGGGGCTGAGCCAGAGCCTGTTGGAATCTTCCCACCTCGCTGTCCCAGGTCTTTCTATGGGAGACATTTGCAGCAGATCTCTGGACTGAGAGGAGTCCAGCATCACCAGACCCAGCGAGGGTAGATGGCTCTGCAGGCTGTTGTCATCAACTTCTGTCCTTTGCCTTCCCTGGGAGACCTAACCCAGGGCCCTATCTCCTCACCTCCAACCCTTTCTCCAGCCGTGAGTCAAAAGGCCCAGAGGCTATGGTGGGTCCAGACGGAGGACAGGCTCCTGGCTGGGTCCCAGGCAGTGGACCCATCTCACACTCTCCCTGTCTTTCACTGCAAATCCAGTGGATGTCTGATTGTCAGCCTCACTGCACATCTGGGGTCTAAAGCCAGGAAGGGCGAGGAACTTGCAGTCCAAGGTTATAGGCACGATTTGAATTGAGATCTCTTGACTCTCAGGATGATCAGTTTTATGTTCCAAACGAGTGCACCCAGCATCCCCAGCAGAGGAGAGGGCAGGGGAGAGGCTGACCCTCATCATGCTGCACCCACAGGGTGCCCTAAGCAGAGGTGAGTCAAGACCCTCTGGGCTGCAATGGGGAACAAAGGCCTCTGATCACAGGATAGCAGATGGCTGTGATGCCAAATGAAGGCTACTGATCACGCCCCCTTGTTGGGGACTTGGCTTCTGCATGTAGACAATGTAAAGTAGGTCACCTCTAAGGGATCTTTCAGTTGTCTTGTCATCAGACATGGGGCCAGGTGTCTCGGTGTGGCAGGAGACCCTGGGCAAGGCTGAGTAGGTGACAGCTGGGGCTTGCCCAAGTTCCCATACCTAACAGTCACCTCAACGTGGCTCTAGCTGGGGGATCCAAGACTAACTCCCTAAGTGGTATCAGTGTTCCCAGATGACAGGCAAACTCCCCACAGCAAAGATACCTTTGAGAGATGTGGCTCTCCTAGGATTAGCAGAGAGGACTTCCTCACAACCAGGTGCAGGAAAGCACAAATACAATCCCAGAACTTTGGGAGACCGAGTCTGGGCTCAAGAGGATCCTTTGAGGCCACCTTGCCAACACAGCAAGACCCCGTCTCTACAAAATATTTTGTAAAATTAGCTGGGTGTGGTAGCATGTGCCTGTAGTCCCAGCTACTAGGGAGGCTGAGGTAGGAAGATCACTTGAGCCCAGGAATTTGAGTTACCGTGAGCCATGATTCTGCCACTGCACTTCGGTCTGGGCCACAGAGGGAGACCCTATCTCTTAAAACAAAACAAAACAAAAAAAACTTCCTCCCATTCAGAGCTATCAGAGGCTGCCTTGGATAGGGAGTTCCCCACCTCTGCAGGCATGCAAGCGCAGCCCAGGAAGCAGTTTGTTATGATTCAGGCATGCATGGCAAGTTGGCTTAAATAATAACCCAAAAGTTATTTTCAGCTCCTTGGGTTCTATGACTGAGTCAGGGATGTGGTGCTGAGAGAAAGTAAAAACAGCTTCTGCAAGGGGCGGAAGAGCAGCAAAGTGCTCTGGGATAGGGATGTGGGAACTGGGGTGGGGATGTGGGAACTGCCCCTCCTTACCCCCCAAGTTGTGAAACATCGCCCCAAGCAGGCTGCTTTTTCCCTCCTTCCTCTGTTGGAGTCAATCTCACCTTCTCTCTCTGAGGAGGACTCAGCTGGAGCCTGGAGGTCTGGGGTTTGGGGGTGATCAGATGGATGAAGAACTAAAGTTAGGGCTTTCAGACCCCAGTTTTCTCCCAACCTCCTCTGACCTTTGCTCCTGACATCTGCCTCTGGGTCTCATCTGCTCTCCAGCGATGGCTGGGGCAACACAGAGGAAGGAGGTTTTCATTCTTAAGGCTCTTAGTGCAGTTAGCATGTGGCGCACAGCTTCAAGGGCTCCAGGCTGTGTGCACTAGCTCTCTCATGCCCAGCCCATCGACCTAAGATCCCCGCATCCCCCAAGAGGAAGTCCCAACTGGGTGGGCACCTGGAGACCTGGGTCATGGGCAGGTCCTGCTGCTGGTATGACGGACTATTTTCCATGGCAAGTGTTTTCCGTTTCCAGTTGCAAGCAGTGGCAGGCAAGAGGCCCCTGGGTAACACTTTCATAGTCTTCACCTGGACTGGAGAGGTCCTTTCTTTGCCAAGAATTTTCTAGAAAGCCAGAGAGGAAAGGCAGGCATACTCTGCCTCTCCACGGGGTCTGGGGAGCAGGGCGGCAGAACAAAGCCCCTCACATTCCCATCCCCCAGCCCCAAGCCAAGGGTTGAGCAAGGACAGTTGATGACTCCAGGCTCTGCCACTCCCCAGGTGCCACTACACAAGGTGTTGAATTCTTTAGTTCAACTTTCCTTTTCTATAGAATGGGAAGAATACCCATCTCACAGCATAGAGTAGTTGTGAGAATGAAATGGCATGAGGTGTGTGGAGCAGCAGGCAAGGTGCCTGGCATTCAAGAGATAACGAATGGGCACTATCGTTATTTACTGGGAGCAAGGGAGACAGGCATGGCCCACGCATCCTCTCTGCCTCCTCCTTCTGGGCCCTGCTCCAATGTGTCCTCCGCTGATCACAGAGACCCCCAGCCTATCACTTTACTCGGAACCACTGGACAGCACACTGGGCATTTATGCGCTTCCTGTTGGCTGTCTCCTGCATCCATCCTAAAGTTCCATGTGCTTGCCCTGCGCATTGCTCAATACACAATGCACCGAAGGCTACCTGGCCATGAGCATTTACATCAGAGAAGAAATGAATGGAGGGACCGCTAAATAAATGAATGACTATGCCTTCACTATACAGAACAAGCAGCACAGGTGGGAACACAGGTTCCGGGTTGGAACACACGCAGCGGGAGGACAGTGGCTCCAGCAGCATCAGCCCACCCCGGTTGTGTCCTCCAAAGCCCTCCAGGTGCATAGAAGCTGCTTCTCTCTCTGCCATGATCACCCCTGGCACTGGGAACACACTGGTGGTTGGGGGGCAAGACTACGTCCCCTCCTCTGTGCCGGCCTGTTATGCCAGCCACACACAGGATGCGTTGAGAATCCGCTCATTTTATAGATGAGGAAATTCGGTCTCCAAGAAGCTAAGTGGCCTACTCCCACAAGGACAGCAAGGTGCAGGGATTCCAACCCATCCGTCATTCCTAAGCCCCAACGTGGCAGGGGTGTCACGTAATCAACAAACGTTTATTTGTAACTGGCTGTGCCAAGAATGTGCTAGGACCCCTCTGCTCTCTGCTCTACACAGCCGGGTAAACTGAAGTTAAGACAAGGCAAGCGACTTGTTGTCACCCAGGACTCCCCGCGCCTTTGCACAAATCTTAGCCGAGGGCGCATGGCTGCAGGGGGAACGGAGCCAAGTAACATAGTAGGACCCAGCATCGCGTCAGGGAGAGACGGGGGGCTGGCAGGATGGGGGCGGCGGTGTTTGTCACCGACTCTCCAACCCCAGTCCCGAAGGCAGGGTGGATTATCCAAGCTCGGTCGTCCCAGATCCCCCAGGTTCCTGCTACGAGAAGTCCCTCAGCGCCGGCAGCGCTGACCCTGGCCTGGGGGTCTGCCCTTCCCGGCAATGTCAGGCCTTTCTCCTTGGCATCCATCGACCTTGGGGTCTGCGAGGACTGAACCTCACTAGGCCTCTCTCTCCCACCCGCAAACGTTCTCTAGTGTTATGCGGCTCAAAGCCCCAAGCTGAGCAGGCGCCGCGTCTCCGCGGTGGCCGAGAGGGCGATGGCCGAGGAGTTCGTTTGGGACGAAGCAGCGGAGTAGGGGAACTGGGGAGCCTGGGCCGGAGTCGGCCCAGGAACTCCATAGGCCGGGCCTCTCTGTGGGTCCCAGCGCAGCGCAGCCAGGCGGGCGTCGGGACCCACGCGGCTTTGGATTCGGCGAGCGACCTTGCTTTGAAGCTGATCACCCGCTCAAGGTGATCACGACGTGCCCACCCGGTCTAGATTTTGAGTTCTGCAGCAAATGCAATTTTAAAGGAAAAGGACCCGCCTGTCCTTCTCCGGCAGTTCGTTTGGCCCAGGCCTTCGATCTGCTGAAAGTTTCCGATCTAGGGGGATGTCCAGGCTGCCGGCGGAGCAGAGCCGATAACCCTCCCTTCCGGCGCGTTCCCCTGAGACTTGGCCTCCGCAACCTGTCCTGCCAGCCGCGGAGCAAAGTGCTCTGCCGCCCGCGCGAGTGCGCCCCGGGGCCTCGCAGCTGCCGGGCGTCCCCGCCATCCACCCCGGGCCCCGCGCCATCACCGCGGCGAGGGAAGAAGCTCGGAGGCACCATCCCGGGGCTCTGCGCCGTCCGCTCTCCGGGATCCTGGCGGCTCACGGACAAAGCTGGTAGCTGGTTTCCGTTAGCTGCTGCCCTCACCCCGAAGGCGGGCGGAAGGTCGCCAGTTGGACGCACAGCCAAACTCTCAGCGCACTCCCGCGCGAGATCCCATATCACCCGGGGGTGCCGTCCTCATTCCGAGCTCCTTCTACAGCTTGGCTCCCGCTGAAGCGCAACTTCCGCGCCCAAACCTTGCTTTTCCGACGGGCCGTCCGCGTCCAGCCGTCTCTTTCCGGCCTGCCCTTTCAGCCCCTCGCCCCCCCTTCCTCCCATACCGGCCCCCTCCCCTGCTCTGGCCGCCCGCTGCGATCCTTTGGGGGCTGTGGCTAAGTGGGGAACCGCCGACCCGCGATCCGAAACGCGCCTTTGCGGCCGCCGGGCGCATCCTGTGGCCTCTTGCGCGGCCACCGGGACGCGGCGCGAAGCGGTCTGGAGGGCGAGTCCTTCTGCGGTCCCACCTCTCCCGCCCCGTCCCTGACACTGGGAACCAGAGCGGGGAGGGGCGGGTGTTTCTCTGTGGGGGAGTAGGGAAGAAGCTAGGCGGGTACGCGCGGTGCCCCAAGCCTGGAACCAAGGAGTGCGCGTTGGTCTTGGGCTCCGCGCGGGTGGAGGGGGGTCGCCCTGCCGCGGGGAGG